AAAAAAGTAGAAACACTTCAGGATGAGAACTGTGGAAATCTTTCATTTTGCCTGTGCATTTGGGGACAATCTCTTGGCTTGAAACTTATAAGGAAAAGAAGAAAACAAGCAAAACCCAAACAAAAGGCAGCAAGGTGTGCTCTGGCACCATGTTTGCAGAGGCCATCCAGGGGGAGAACACACAAGAAGTCCTCAGCCCTCTCTGGCAATGCCCAAGGCAGACAGAGCTCGTCTACGTGGCACCCAGCTCCACTACAGCCCAGGGTGACAATGCAGGAGGCCTGTGCCCAGGGCCCAGCAGTCCTTGGCTCTGCTCCAACTGATGCACAGCACTCATGCCCAGAGGAAGGCTGGATGGACCATGTGGAGCTGCCCTCTGCCTGGGCTCTTACCATTCAGCAATGCTCCTGTGTGCTCGGATCACAGAGGTCTCGATGTCGATGGGGTGGTACCGCATGCCCCGGAGCTCCAGAGTTTCATCCAGAGACCCAACCACATACAGTGCATCATGCCGTCCTGTGAACAGTGTATGTTTACACGTGCCTGTAAAGCGAGGCACGCAGAGTCTGGACATGCGTGTCCTCTGATGACAACCAGGACTCTCGGGCACAGGGAGGTCTCAACTTAAATATCATGAGGTCCCACACCACATGCAGAGAGGGTGATGGAGGTACTGGCAGCACCGAACCACCTCAGGAAAGTTACAGCAAGTGTGAGCATATTACTAAAAATAACTTTTATCTCTGGGATGCGACAGCATCTGTAGGAGCTACCAAAAGTTCTGCCTTGTCTGGCCAGTTTGTCGTGGCTGTGCAGGGTCCTCTGGACATTGGCCACAATCTTTAGCAGTTGTGCGTGGGAAGCCACTGGTTACGACAGTGGCTGAGAGGCCGGCCTGGCCTTGGGGAGGAGCCTGGCAGTCTTATCACCAACACTGTCCCCCATCCCCTCAGCAGAGGCCAAGGGCCCAAGCACAGTGAGGGGCAGTCATGGAGGGAAAACAGTATTTTCAGAGAAAATGGCTGTCAGAATATTTTTTCCCCACACCGAACAATACCAGACCACAGCAAGAAGTGAGGTGTGCCAGCAGGTGACCAAGCTCTTGGGAAGTCCAAGTCCTCCCCAACAGCACTCACGTGGGACTTCGCCACAATCCCTCACCTCCACTGGCATCAGTGAGCTCTGTTCGTCGAAGAAAGCCAAGGTAGCCAGTCCTTGCCCAGATGGTCTGTGTGTCTCCAAAACTCAGCCGGGCACTGAAGTGGTCAGCATGAAGCGCCTCCTCACCGTAGACTGTATAGTAGCCGGTGGCGTTGTGGGGGCTGCTCACCCAGATCTGGTAGGGCACAGAGGACAAGCATGTGACGCATTACCAGCTACTGAGTTCAGATTCTGTCACAAGACATCCACTGGCCAAGAATAATGCTACAGAAAACACTGAACCTAGTGGGAGCAGATAATACCCACTGTCACCTATTTTATTAACTAAGTTAAATTACAGGCACAGGAAGCAAACATCACTTTTCTCTCCTTAATGTGTTTCCTCCTTTGACCCAGGAATGATATCTGTAGGACTCTATCCTCCGTAAGTAGAGAGAGGTAATTTCACCTTCCTCAAGTCAAACAATTAAGAGAGGGCTGGGAGCAACCTAAACTCCACAACAGGGACATGCTGAAGGAATGAGGGTCCCTACAGAGTGGAGAGTGTGCGACTGCTCAGACTCACACTAAGACAGAGGCTCTGACAACAGCACGTCCCAGAGTTAACGTCAGCCCCATGCATGTCTGTGTGCGTCCACCTGTCTGTTCAAGTGTCGGTGTGCACCCACATATCTACACACATGTAAGCATCTGTGTGCATCCATGGAGGCCTGCGCCTGCAGGACCAAGCGTCATGGGGCCCTTCTAGACACAGAGCCCGTCTAGAACCCACAGTCAGTTCAACTGCCTCTAAGGCGCCCCTGCATGGCAGCATCTGAAAGAGGAGGAGGGGGTGGCCAGTAGGGGCGTTTCCCTTGAGCAGCCGCCACAAGGGGTGGGTCCCCATTCCTGGCTCAGACTCTCCAGCTCTTGGGGAAGGAGAAGCAGCGTGGCCACCCTCGCTCTGTTCAGTCAGACCTGGGTTTGGCTGTCCAGGAAATGGGATGGTTGAGAGGAGGGTCCCTCACTCCATCCACACTCAAGATTGGGGCCCAGGACACCTTCCCATCAGGACACGGTAAGACTACCTGAGGGGCCACATGCTCACACCCTTGTCCCAGTCAGAAGAAGCAGGCTGAGGCTGAGTGATTTCCCTCTGGGCATGGCTCGATGGAAGCCCCAGTCTGGCTTCACAGCAGAGTCCACAGATGATGCCTGTGCCCACCTGGTTTGAATACATCAATTTGACAGCACATTCCCCAAGAGGGTAGGACTAGGAACGTGAGTCCTAAGCTTCCATGATAACAGATCAACCTGCACATTTGGGACATGACTGCACTTCAACCTGCCACCACTGCCTATAATTAATGGGTCATGCCTGTCCCAAATCACAGGGAGACGAACGTGCAATACATGTAGACATTTCAACCCAACGAATTCCTATGTAGCCTGTGTGTCCTCAGGGAGACCCACACCATCCACCCTGTATCCTCAGGACAAGAACTCTGAGCTCCTCCCAACTTCCCAGCTGCAGGTGGAGGCCCTGAACTCTTCTGGTGCAGAGTTCTCTATTGCCAGTTTCCCTGGGTCTGTGCTCTTGGCTGGGTGCCAGGGACCACTTTTAAGTAGCAGCTGCTGGGTCCTTCCCAAGGTAGCTGTTTTCTGCACTGCCACTGGCTTCACGCAGCTCCTCCCACCTGCCAGTGCCTCAAACCTTTAAGTTTTCCTCAGTTAGGTCAACCTAGGGATGAGGCAGTTTGTCCCATAGCACCCCAAAATCTTACATAGGAACTGGGTCTGGGAGGTACACAGGGGAAGGGCCAAATGGTTTCTGGTAGATTCCCAAAGGCGTGTGTGATCCTACAGTTTAGAATTTCCCAAATCTGAAGCAAAAAGGAAGGGAAAGTGAAGCTGGTGAGGCTTGAGAGCTCACACCCCCTCCCACCGGCCCCTGCCCTCAACTCACCTCTCCCAGGTGTGAGTCTCCCAAGGGCCCTTTGGTCTCAGTGTGTGCGATGATGACCTTCACGCCAGGGAGGATCTGGAAGGAGAAGAGATATGTCCCTTGTTAAAGAAAACATGACACAAGACGCTCTTGATTCAGTGACAATAAAATTAAAATAACGTCCTTCGGAAACTGGCCTGCAGGACTGATGTGCTTATGTCAGGTCAGGAAGTTTAGAGGCCACTCCAAATTTGACTTTGAATTTTCAAAGAAATAAGAGATGTTAACAGAAATAAATTATGAATCTTAGCAAAATTACTCCAGTTCCTAAGAATGAACCCCATCTTTGGGTGTCAGGAGGGGCAGAGGGTCACTAAGGCTATGAAGACAATCGGCCAGGTGATGCTAATGAGGACCCATCCAAGGGGTGCAGTGGCCCTGCTGTGCCCAGCCCCACAGGAGGCACATGCCTGTGAACTTCATCGAGTGTCCGGGTTCTTGGCTAGGAACCTGACCATGAGGAAGTTTTTCCTGCCTGTGACTCCAAGTCAGTCCAACCACTGAGCACTGGCTCTGTGCCAATTCAGGATGGTGAGAGACCACCATCTCTTACCTGGTCTCCCCAGACCCAGTCCCAGTGGTCCCTCACTGGGCTCAAGTCAGACCACCTGAATGCACAAGGCCTGGCTGCTTGTTCTGTGTCCTCAGTTTCTTCACGTATGAAACGGAGGCAATGACATTGCAGACTCAGGGTGGGCAAGAGGAGGGGAGAAGGGGCTACAGGGAGGTGTGGGCCATGGTTAGCACCAGACCCTTCCCTGTGGGGTAGGACTTTTCTGTTTCCCCAGATGCTGTTGGAGCCTCCACCCTCTCCTTGCATGTCCCAGCTGAGCCCCAAAACCAGAGCTCTCTTTCCAAGACACAAACCTATCAGGCCCAAGTGATTCTAACAGCAAAATAGGAAAGAACGTCCAATAAAGGGGGATGAGTTAAACAATTACAGTGCAGCTGTACATGGCAGGGCAGGAGCAGCCACAGAAAAGAGCTACGTACTGGCCCAATGACCCAGGGAAACCCGCTGAGTTTACACCAAGGACAATGCAGAGCTGTGTGTGACAGCAGCTCACAGTGTCTCAGAGAAAGGAGGATATGCAGCAGCCCAGGGCTCCCACAGCTGTGCTATCCGCTAAACTCACCGACTGCACTCTCAGCTCGTCTACTTCCTAGAGTGACTTTAACAGGGCACGAAGGAAGGGAGCTATTCAAGTCCCTGCACCTGCATGAGTTCACTCACTCACTCCTCCTGCTCCCCACTCAGCCCAGTCCCACTGGCCTCCTTGTAGCTCCCACCTCAAGATCCTCACAGCAGCTGTGCCTTCTAACCCCAGACTCACCCCTGCTGCCCTGCAGGAGTCTGTGTGCTGGACATCCTATGGCTTGCCTGAGTCCCTCTCTGGGCCCCTCCCTGACTCCCCACAGGTGGCTGTGGTCATGGCAGTGAGTGAACAGAGTAAGGATGACCAGGCTCCTTCTCTTGCCTCTGGTGTTGTGAAGGTACCAGGTCCCCCACAGCCCCCACTGGAGGCACAGCAGCGCCCACTCACACCAAGCTTGGCTTACTCTTCATGCTGCCTTCCTGGGCTGTGTGGCTTTTCCTCCTTCCTTTGAACCTTTCCTGGTTCACAGGATGCTATTCTGTGCCTACATCTGCTGACCCCTTGCAGAACCTCAGTTTTTTCCTGGGAGTCAGGCTGTCTCAGGATCCCCCAGATTCCCCAAGGCTCTGAGGGCCTCTTCCCTGCCGACACCCTAAACCAGGGCATAAGATTTTGCCATCTCCAGTTTAGGGCCAGGGCCATTCCATTTAACTCTACATGTGTAGGTGGGCCAGACCCCTCGCTCCACGTGCCTGACCCCAGAGGCCTAAGGCCCCTCACCTGCCCAATGGGAGTTCTTTATTCCTGCACCTGAAGTTCTCCCTTTCTGGTGCTGAGCTCAGATGTGTTTAAAGACATAACTAAGTAATTCTATATGCCAGCTGCAAAGAAGGGAGGGAGTAGCAGCCGAGCCCACCCCAACCAGAAGTTGACCCGTGTTCATCAGAATCGTAGCCCCTAGCGGCCCCCACAGGGCGGTGCTTCAGACAAAGGTCTCACACGACTCAGAATGCAGCGTCTTGGCTTCCACTACCTTTCCAGACTCCATCAACGGCAGGCTGTGCGGAGAACCCCGTTCTACCAAACGTACCCTAAAAAATAAGGGAACGATTTCAGCATAAAATTTGCTGCACAGGCAGTAATGTCTAAAAGGGCAGATCATGAGGCTGGAAATGATTACTCTGAGGGTCTGTTGACAACAGTCAGGGTGTCAGCCTTTCCATAGCACACCCGCCATGAGCAACCTGGGTGGTGACGCCAGGCCACGGCAGGGACACCCCAACAATGCTTGGTCCCAAGTGCCGCTGCCCGCATGTACTCGCTACCCACCCCATGTGCTCACAGAAGCTCACTCTACATTTCTTTTAGGTCATCCCTGAATCCAGCAGGCCCCTGGCACCCAGTAAGCTAAACCTAGTGTTTACATCAAGCTCCAGTGTGGACATATCCAGGTCTGGGATCTGAGCTTCAAAGCTGGGAGAGGCCCTGATGCACATCTGACCACAGACCAGCAAGAACACACTGTGTGCATCACCACTGTTTATCAAGATGAAAACAGATTCTCTGACGGCATCAGGTAAGAAACGCTCTTGCCAGCAGATGACTTGTCTTCTACCTATCCCTATCCTATAAAAAACCGAATGTCACATGGGTCACTCTTATTCTTCCTGCTTGTGCGGCAGGCAGAGGGATGTTCACTGCAGCCCTGGGGACATGGGCGCACAGAGACGGACATCGAGCTCCCCTGGGAAGCACACCTGGAGTGGGGCCCACAGCTCTCCTCTTCCTCTTGGTGCAAATGGCCCAATGCAGCCAGCTGTCCGAACATGTGCCTATCCGGGTTCCCAGGTAGGCCTGACTTGGCCCATCTGTCCTCTTATGCCTGGGTCCCCGGGGATGCCACCGGGTATGAATGGGGCCCAGGCAGGCTGAAAACATTACCTGTCATGGCGCAGTGCCCGCATGTCCACGTAGACGGTTGTGGGGTCTGGCCCAGCTGTGCCCTGGAAGGAGAGTGGCAGAGGAACTTCTGTTGGGGGCCTCACTTTCATCTTGTTTCCACAGGCACAGCTGCATGGCAGCTCCTCCCGGGCCCCCGGGGACACCCAAGAAGGTAGCACGTGTGCTCCCTGCAGCCAGTCTGCCTAGGGGCTCAAGGTCCCCAGGGCAGACTGACGCCTTCCATCCAAACATCCACACAGCTTGCTAATACTGAGTGAACCACTCAATGACTCTGAAAACACCAAATCATGCCACTTTACATTTCAGTTCTAACATCTTTCTATTCCCACTGGTCTCTTGTGATGAAAACACCATTAGGATCTGAGGGGCATTTCCACCATGCTGCCAGGCAGGGCCCAGCCTCTCACCAACCAGCCTAATTCTACTGGGCACGGCTCGCAGCGAGACTCACTCAGGTGAGACGGATGGCAGCCTTCACCTTTCTCCTCCCTTCCTGACTTCTGAATCTTACAGTTAACATTAATCCCGACTAAAGAACACTATGTGTCATTTTATTAGATAAGGAACATCAAATTAAATGAGTACTCTGATCAACAAAACCCTTAAAGATCCAGACAACATAACCTGTGTCTGCACTGGAATTAAACACACCCATTCCTCCCAAGGTAATGTTACGAGGATTAACAATTTTTGAAAACAGTTTTACTTTTAAATTTGGTTACAAGGGAGCTTTTGTAATATGTCAAGGAATATCCACTGTGAACAAAGTAAGACAGCAAAAGAAACACGTCTGTCTAGAATTCACGAGAAAGTCACATGAACTCATGGGAGGGGGAAGCAAAGAGGCACCAACAAGGTCAAGGTCATACCTGCTCAGCCAGCTTTCCCAGCCTGTTGGGCTGACAGAGGCCAAGGAGGCCAGCAGAGTGAGACAGGGAGGAGACAGCCACAGGAAACACACACAGAAGCAGCAGCCACATGAGAAACACAGGGAAAGAAAGAGCAAAACCCACCTCTGTATCTCAAAGAGCAAAAGTGAACATCCCATAACATCATTTCTGCAATCATGTGTGGTACCCACACCCTTCCGATGTCCAGCAAGGAGGGCCGGGGCTTGCAGATGCAGAGCCACTAACACACAGGCTGGCACCCACGCTCAGCCACAGCCCACAGCAGGCAGCGAGCTCACAGAAGACTCCCACCCGGCCTCCTCTGCTGTGTGACAAGGGGCAGAGGCTCGAGTGGCCAGGAGTCCTGTCATGGTGAAGAGGGCATGAGCTGAGCCACTGCCCTGCCTTGCGTGCACTGCCACGAGGGGGAGGCACAAGGCCAAGCAAACACTTTGGAAACAGAGACAGACCTGCACTCAGCACAGCTCTGGCGTGGGCACATGCCATCTCCTTACAGCTATTCTTGCACTATGTGGGTGAATAGGGCACTCAATAGGTAGGGTATCTAAAAAGCTATTTGGCTTTAAAATGTTATTAGAAAGAAATGAAATTGAGATATTAGCACAAAATCTGGGAAACAGCTGTAGCTATCTGAGGAAGTGGTGAACAGCAGTGCCGTGGACTCTTCAGTCTCTGAAACTTGGTTTGTTTATTATTTATTTATTTATTTATTTATTGAGACAGGGTCTTGCTCTATTCCCCAGGCTGGAGTACAGTGGTGAGATCCTGGCTCACTGTAACCTCCTCTTCCCAGGTTCAAGCAATTCTCGTGCCTCAACCTCCCAAGTAGCCAGGACCACAGGCGTGCACCACCAGCCAGCTTATTTTTGTATTTTTAGTAGAGACAGGGTCTCATCATGTTGGCCAGGCTGGTCTTGAATTCCTGACCTCAGAAGATCCGCCTGTCTTGGCCTCCCAAAGTGCTGGGATTACAGGCATGAGCCACCACTCCCGGCCTGAAACTTGGTGCTTCCTTTTAATAAGACATTTCATAGCTTCAAAAATGAATTTGGGTCAATACAAATTACCACATTTATTAATGTTTCAATTTAATATTGCTAGATTTCCTAAAACAGTAAGTTCAATCTTGCTTTAAGAACTTAGCTATGTATTATATCTAAGAGAGTCTTACAGGTAAGGTATTAGTCACTGTTAAGAAACAATTTGTATTTTTTCCCAAATAAGCCTTTGTTCAACTAGAGTATTTTTAAAAATAAAATCCTTGAAGCTAAAATGTTACATGGAAAGGAAACATCAAAGTCTCAGGGAAGGAGAAATAGACCAGGCAGGTACAAAACTGACATTAACTGAGAAACTCTCAGTCTGCACACTGCCAACAGCCAGCTTTGGAGAAGCGCAGGGCCCAAGCACCTTACCTGGAGGCAGATGGCCACGTTGACCCTGCACCCGAATGTGGTGCTGACGGCGCGGGCCGGCAGGCCCAGGTCCTTGAAGAGCTTGGAGAACGACTGGGTCAGCGCAATCCTGGGCCGCTCCTCGGCAACCACCATGCATGTGCGCACACATGACAGGTTCACCCCCTTCATCTGCGGGAGGGGTGAGCAGTCAGGCCACAGCCACAGCCCAGCAAGGTGCCACAGCCCTGGGCACTGTCTTGGGAAGTTTCTGGGTGGGTACACAAAGGTGGAGCTGGACACCAACCTCCTCTCCTGAGGCTGCGTCTATCCCACAGAATCCTAAGTGTGGATGTACTAGAGGATTCCCATCTGACCTGCATCCTACACCTGCCCTGCCACATGGCCAGACCTCTACCCTGCTATTCCACAAGGACGCTGCCCTACCCCACACCTTCCTCTCCTGTGGGGTGTGAAGCTGCAGAGGCAGGTGGGCCATGGGAGGAGGAATGTGTACACAGGGTCCGCAGGGGGAAAGGGTTTTCTCTACTTCCATAAACTGCAGGGAGGGGCCTTGGGAGTCTTGTTTTGTTTTGTTTTTAAACCTCCCAGGGCTGTGGTCTGCAGCACACTCGGACATCCAGGTCTGGGCACTCACCCTGAGGACACCTGTCTGCGCGCCAAGGCCCTTGGTGCACATCTCCATCACAGAGTAGGAGCAGAAGGTGACGCGGGCCTTGTACTGGCTGACAGCTGACAGCCACAGGGACACGTTGCTCTCCAGCTCCAGTGGTGGCACTAGCACTGACTGGTGTCCCGAGTAGACGCTGTGAGAGGGAAGGCTCGTGAGGCTCCGCCCACCCACCCAGCACCTGGGCACTCCGCTCTTCCCTTCCTCAGGACACTTCTTTTACCGCCATGACGGGGCACAATTCTGCTCTGATGCTAAGTGGGGTGTGGGTGGAAAACATGCCACAGGGGGAGAGGTTGGGGAGGTGGCAGGCACGGGGTCCTGATCTCTGCTCCAAACACTTGGAGAGTATCCAGGGACACCGTTCCAGAGGCACTCGCTTCTAGAGACGGATCACCACTTTGCAGTGTTTGAAGGAATCAAGCAGATTCTTCCCAAGTACTAATAATGGACAGTGTATTAAATGAAAAATGTATTTTCACTCAATTTCAGACTCAGACTCCAACCAACTTCATCCCCAAACAAACCCACTCACACACGTCTCAGCTTGCTGAGCCCTCAGAAAGGTGCCTTACTTAGAAGGCCACGATTCCTACGAGCCACACGAGCTGCTGCCACCTAGCAGGTGGTAGGGACCCTGCACTCACCTGCACAGACACCACAGGGCAAAGCCAAGACCACAGTAGGGGTCGAGGCAGATGGCAATTTGCCGCGAGGGGTACAGCTCACACTGCAGCTTTATGGAGCGGCACAAGGCGCTTGTGGCCGCGTGCGACATCTTAGGAGTAAAATAAGGTTAAAAAAAAAAGTGAAATGAAATTCAGTGATGTGCAGGGGGAGAGAGGGTTGATGGCAGCAACTGCTCTCCACATGGCTAGACCATAGCGCCAAACTTCCAAACTCATATTTATTTCCTTAAAAGATGGTTGGCTCAAATCCCCAATATAACCTAAGTAATACCCAAGAAACGATACACTCAAAATCTTTGAAACAAAATTTCAAAATACTGAATTTCCTTTTTTTTTTTTTGAGATGGATTCTTGCTCTGTCGCCCAGGTTGAAGTGCAATGGGGGCAATCTCAGCTCACTGCAACCTCTGCCTCCCAGGTTCAAGCAATTCTCCTGCCTCAGCCTCTTGGGTAGCTGGGATTACAGGTGTGTGCCACCATGCTCCGCTAAGTTTTGTATTTTTAGTAGAAACAGGGTTTCACCATGTTGGTCAGGCTGGTCTCGAACTCCTGACCTCGTGACCCACCTGCCTTGGCCTCCCAAAGTGTTGGGATTACAGGTGTGGGCCACCATGCCCAGCCTGGATACTGAAAATTTTTAATTGAGCTATTGGCTACCAGCAAGGAAACAGATTCATCGAAGCCACCAGTTCCTGGAAGCCGGACAGTCATAAATCAAAAAGTTTAGACATGACCACAAAGCATCAAAATATGCATTACTCTCAGGCTAATCACATTTTAGGGGATTACTGGTATTTAACACAAATCTTAAGCAGCAGTATTGTTGCTTTGTGCTTTGCATATGAAGGAACTGCCTAAACCTTCGTCTGACATCCTTTCTGTCCACCCCCCCTGATTTCTAGGAGCTGAAGCCAACAGGATTTCAGAGGACCTACCTTCACTCCCGCTAATATACCAGTGGTCGACACGCTGAAGTCCAAGTATGCGAGGACGTCGGGGGAGGGGGGCCTGAAAATGCTCGCTACCTTCTTTTTAGGGATGTCATCTGTTAAACAGGAGACACCAGCAATATCAGTGTGTTTCTGCATTTATTCTGAGTGCTCTGAGCTTTCACAGGCAAGAGGTGACACATGATTTGTCCTTGGGAGTCCTGCAGAGAGTGAGCTCGGACAGGTGTAAGGTCACGAGGATGCAGGCTGTGTGTGCTCAGAAAAGCGTATTTCATTCTTCATGGAAATGCTACCCAGCCCCACCAAAACCACACTGAGCCCGTGGGGATGTGGGACGAGGCAGGCAAGGAGGAGAGATATCACATTACTGACCACTAGGAAAGGCTAGAGGACTGAGGACTTGCCGAAGGTCTCCGAGTCTGTGGCAGGGCCCAGAGTTCCAACCACAGCAAGAATAGCCATGGACAGGCTCTGAGTTCTGCATGCTTCATCAAGTTCTCATGGCCCCATGAGCCAGACACCACTGCCTGCCTGGGTGCAACTGGGCACAGGCTCACCAGGGCAGGCACTGCTTCCCTTGAGGCAATCCTGTGAGGCTCTGGGGCCCTGGCCAGCTGTTCTGCTCTGAGCCTGCCCTCCCCTGCACCAGCTGCCCTGGCCCAGCCCCATCCAGCCCAGGCTGAGACAGGTCCACAGCAGACGGGAGCCAGGGGGTTTTCAGACCCCCGCCCCATTGGCCCTCAGCATTTCAGGGGGCACAGTGGCATTCACCAATGATGGGGAAAGGGATGCTGGTGTGGTGGCACGTGGTGGGAGCTGTGTCCCCAAAGGGTTCACAGAAAAGAGCTGCCAGCCCCCATGCCAGCAGGAGGTGGGTGAGAGGGGCAAGGCTGTGCTCTGCACCACTTGGAAATGGCTATGGCTGCCATGGGCTCAGTGGAGAACGGATTCGCACACGGGACAGGGACCCCTACTCCTCACCAGGGCCCAGGGGCCACCCCTGCCGTCAGCCAGGTTCCTGCCAGGACTGCTCTCGCCTCACATGTTTTTGGATGGCAGCCAGGCCACACCTACAACACGGGAAAAGGGACTAGTCCTGGGCAGTGTGAGGGCACTTACCTGTGTCTAGGATGGTGGGCCAGGTCCTGATGTCCACAGCGGCGGCAGCCTCCTTGGACCTGAGCAGCCGTGTGACGGCCTGTGTGGTGAGGACGCATGCAGACTTGCTGACCTGCATGGCGAGGGGTCAAGGGTGGGTGAGTGGGGCCACTCGAGCTGCCCAGAAAGGGGGGCAGCGGAGGGCAGCCTGGCAGCCTCCCACCCACAGACCCTGTCCCGAGGGCCAGGTGGGAGCACCTCCACGATCATCTTGACGGTGGGCAGCGTGGTGCCTAGGTTCTGAGGGTGCGGGGGCCGCACAGTGACAGGTACGCAGCCGCAGTACAGGCAGCCATAGAATGCGGCGATGAGGTCCACCCCTGTGGAGACAAGGACTAGCCATGAGGAGGACAGCCACAAGAGGCTCCCACCAGCCTCTGTCCACTATTCCTGCAAGAAAGGAGGGAGGCCGTGCTAGGGAGGATGGGGGTGACTTTCGGGTTTCCAAAGGGGAAGCTGAGCTGAGGAGGCAGACAGATGCAGAGAGGAGGAGATGAGCTTGGTTTTGGAAGCTGCTTCGGGGAGGGAATATCTGGGGGGCTGCTTAGGGCAGGTGACTGCTTACAAAGAACTGCAGGTGGACAGCCCCACAGTGAGCCTACCTGGTGGGTAGACCAGAGCCACATGGTCCCCAACACTCAGTCTTCCCTTCTCCATCAGAGCCGCGGCCACTCTCTCAGCCCTTTTGTGCAGCTGGACACAGGTTGCAGTGCTTGTGACGGTGCCCTAGGAAAGCGATCACTGAGCTCATTGTGTGCTGGTGCCTGCAGATGGGCTGTTCGCAGATGTGCGTGTTTACCGCATGCACGCCACTGCACACGATGCCTTGTGATTATCCGTGATCATGACATTGTGTCAGTCCTATGCGTCCTCACCACGCTGGTGTCTTTTTCTTTTTGGTAGAGATAGGGTTTCACCATGTTGGCCAGGCTGGTCTCAATCTCCTGACCGCAGGTGATCTGCCTGCCTCAGCCTCTCAAAGTGCTGGGATTACAGGCATGAGCCACTGCACCTGGCCCACGACTAGTGTCTCTTCTCACCATCTGTGTACTCTTGCCGGCAGTGAAGGGACAGGCACGCAAGCATCTCCTGCATGGTCCCAGCTGAAAGGGAGATGCGGCCACTCCATTCACCCAGGGCAGAGCCACAAACACATGGCTAAAGACCTTTCTGGCCTTTTTAGTAAAATATTCCATACAGCACCATTATAAATAAATAGTAAGCGGCGGGCAAGCATCCCTCAATTGTATTACCGTGCATGCCCACAGGCCGCCTTACTGAGCCTGGGCCTGTGTCATCTGCAGCTGGATTCTCAGAGGCGTCTGTGCGCCTCCTCCAGAGCGGACTGCACCCGCTCATTCCTTCACCCTGTCTCTCTGCTGATGGGTGTTGGGCTATGTGACCAGTTCAGTACAAACAGAAACACCTTGTAACCCTACCCCTCTGCTCAGGAAACTCATCCTCCCTGATCCCATGCGAGGCCTCACAGCTTTTTTAGTCCTTAAGAAGATAAAAAGTGCAATTCAGTCTAACAAATATAAAACTCCAGAGCAGACCAGTGTAACATTAAAACTCCCTACTTCTCAAGTGGTGGCTTCTACTGACAGGAAGCAGTGAAAAAGAGAGACCAGTGGAAGCACTTGTGTGCCATGCCTAGGCACAAGGGCTGGGCAGATTCTGACAGTCCAAATCCTGAGAGTCTTACCAGTCCACATAAGTCAGGGCCCTGTCAGACAGAACCTGAGAACTGGACCAGGACTCAAAGCCCCCAAGGCCCTGGATCCCGCCGCACCCTCGGGGGAAACCCAGCGACCCCCAGCCTTATCTGCGTCCCTTCATGGTTCCACCTGGCCCCCACCACACTGGCCTCCTCTCCTGCCTTGAGCCACTGTCCATCACTGCTTCATAGCCCCTGCTACCCTGGCTCCATCCAAAGCCCCCTCCCCAGCACTCCAGGTCACATCCCTCCACTGTACTGATGTCGAGGTTCTCACCTAAGCTGATTTTACCATGGTCAATGGTAAATCATTGGCTGGCTGTAGGCTTTAGAACTCAATCATAAAATAAATGTTTACTGGGCATGGTTCTAGATGCTTCCAATAAACCAGAAAAACAAAATCTCTCTCTTACAGAACTTGTTTTCTAGCAGGGAAGACTGATTTCAAACCTGTTAAGAATAGGGGTCCTTTTTATTTAACACTGTGTACATTGCAGGCATCAGTAAGTATTTTTTGAATGAATGAGCAATACCAAAAGCTAGACCAGCATTTTCTAAGCCACAGTGAGCTACTCTTTACCACACCAAAGCTTAAGAATTCTTACAGCTTGTATGGCGCATGGGGCAGGAGGGTTTTTAAATTATTTAACTTTGTTTCCACATTTTGCATTCCTGCCCACAACCTGAACATGAAGATTATAGTTTCTCCTTGGCATCCCGAATGCTCCTAGCATACTGGAATGCACACAACAGGAACTTGAAACACATGAGAATTTCCAAATGAGCAGCAGGAACAGGGTCAGAAGCAACATTTGTCATTTAAAAGCTGTAAACAAATGTAGAAATTCTAAATGCCTAATTTTTTATTAAAAAACATTTCATTTTAGCTCACAAACTTAGAAGTATTTACATGTATGCAGTTTTTAATTTTAAAAACTGGAGCTGATAAGACTTTTCCTGCTAAACACAAAATCAGTAGAAATACTATTGTGTGAATTGTGTGGAAAACAAGGAACCTACAAAGGAAGGGGCAGGCCGAGAGAACCACACCGGACAAGGGGGCTGAGCCCACAGGCACACTGTTCTCTACATGGGAAAACCACCAGGGCACTGGCATCACCAACTAGACAAGCAACAGGATCTACCAGCCCCGACGCCGCCTCACCTTGGCGTTCAGCAGCAAGAACAGCGGGTGGTCAGGAGTGGTGTGGGCACGCCACTGCAGCACATCAGCCAGGAACAGGAACTGCATGAGAGGGTGATTTGGTTACCGGCAGCCTCCGGGGTATGGACACCTGTCCACCACCCCTCCCCCCAAAACTGGCCTGTTACCTTCCGTGCCTGGTCACTGTCCTCCAGGTGGGCGAGCTCTCTCCCAGAAGCCTGTGCAATTCTCTTCCCAGCAACCAGGTTCCCCACGATCATTGAGGCTGGTCCAACCTCTAGAAATGGGGAAATTCTGAATGAGATGCTAGTAACTTCTCATTCAGAATGAGAAGAAAAAAGTCATGTGACTTTTTTTCATTATATTTTTTATTTTGAAAACATACTTGAATGAGGCACTTAACTCTTCTATTGAGATACAAATATTCAGAAAGCCAGCTACAATGTTTATGCTAAGTGACAAACAGAACTTCTCTCTTAAATATAGAAGTTTACTACATGACATATCTCAGAGGATATGATTTGGCCTGAGTCACAGCAAAATTCTTAACATATTTTGTTTTACTGTACTTTATGAATAAACCAGGAAATTAAATCTTCCTGATGAAATGTATTTAGTGATATTTTATGTGTTCAATAATTAACAAAAAAAACTTTGCAACGTACTAAAAATCAACATGATCAAAGAAATGAAAAACTGCATTAAGGTTAAGCCAGTCTTTAAATTAGCTTTTAAATGTGTAAAATGAGGGAAGGAAAGCTGACCACTTGCTGAGAAATTTCCAAGGTCCCATCAACCCAGTGTCTGCGGCAGGTCCCAGGGCAGAGGCAGGCAGCTGGCTCCTGCGGACAGGTATGGCTCGTGCCCCATAGCACAGCGTGGCCACAGAGGCACTTTTGACTTTAAGCTCCAGTATGATCCTGGGCATCATTTCTAGCCCTAAGGAGCCATCTCCTAGCCATGCAAAGCTAAGAGGCCATCCTGGAGTTTATCATTACAACTGGTTCCTAATAGGCAGATGCAAACCACCATATAGGGCATGTGGTTAAGTTCCCCCATGCGTAGCTAGTTCCAGGAAGGCAGAAGGTAGCACCATTCTGGGGTGCACCCTTGCTCTGGCTCTTGACTCTAGCCTCAAAGACATGGGCAGTTGGCACTGGAGGGTCTAGCAGGGCTGCACCCTAACCACAAGCGCAGTTGCTATCAATGTTGACTAGAGAGCATCCTGTTGTTAGGTACAACTAACCTGGTTGTTTCTGACGAGGTTTGGGGAGGTTGGTAACACAGGTGTGAGGGCACATCAGCACGTTACACGGGTGCAGTGTCCCTTCCAGAAAGCGCTGTTTGGTTTCAGAAATGTGAATCCCTCCAAGAGGAGCCTTGGGCAAGGTGTTGGCAGGAACCAGGGCCAGACAGTACACGCCCACCTGGTGGATGCTGTCGATGGCCTGAAAGGGAAGGACCCTGCTTGGCCCAGGCCCCCAACTTGAGGCTGGGGAGATGTTGGGTGGGGGACAGGAACATCCCCTACATGGACCTCTTTTCCAGGCCAGGAAATGGAGCTCTGGACATTATGTTAGATGAGGAAAGAAGATGAAGAGGAGTGTGTACAGTTTTCTACCATTTAAGTCAGAAAGGGGAAACACACACACACAGTATTTGTTTACCCATGTCCATAAATCTGTGACCAGAGGCTGAGGGATGGGGCAATGAGGAGATGGTGGTGAAAGGGCACAAAGCCTCAATTAGACAGGACAAGGAAAGTTTTTTCTTTGAGATATATTCAGACTGGTGAACATCACAGATAACGTATTGTACATTTCAAAATCACAATGAGAGTGAATTTCAAATGTTCTCACATAAAAAAATAAATATTGAGGTGACAGCTATAATTTGTCAATTTGCAATGAAAAATACAGATAAACAAGCTGGAGACAGAGAGGACAGGGCGGAACAAACCAACCACTTGGCGCTCAGAGTGGAGTCGGGGGGGCCAGCTTGGGAGATTCACCGAACCACAGGCCGTGCAGGGTGCCCACCTGCAGCACGCGGCTCATCCACTGGAAGCTGTCCTCCTCCGAGGCATCCGGCCGCTGCTCAGCTACCAGGACGATCCGGTCATCATGCAGCACAGTCACAGAGAACACAGCGATCCTGAGGGATGAGACATGGAAATGGCCACATGGCAAGAGGCCGAACAAGGCACAGATGCATTCTCACCACATAATGGAAGAGGCAGGCTGTCCTTTTATTTAAAATGCAGTCTATGAAATGGTGCTACCTGCTGCAAATTTGTAAAGTAACTCATCATTCTAATCTCAATGACGACTGAAATGTGTCTCAAGTCACAAAAAACAGAGAGGACTTCAGGGCAAAGCAAAACAGCCAGAAAGATACATATTTTTACAAGAAAAATTTCCTTAATCTGATGTTAATTTCCTTGTGCACAAATCTATCTAAAAGTTCTATTAATTATGTTTTTTAATACAACAGATTGCACCTCTCTTTTACTAGAGTTAATCTATTCACATTTATTGTGATTAGTATAGTTAGACCTGTTTTTACTATCTTAAGAATTTCAACATGTCCTCCTTTTTTCTGTGTTGCCTTTTTCTTCTTTCAGATTTTGAGTTAATATCTCTGTCTTTATAAGACAGAGATAAAATATAAAATAAGAAGATGATCATTATAAATTAAGATGATGATCTCCCCATCAAACCCATCATTTTAGGATGTCTACCATTCTGACTCTGGGACATTATGGATATACCTTCTCTTGTCCTTTCCTATGACTTGACTGGTGTGTGTACACACAAACACACACACACACTTTTATACAACAGACCTTACCTAATATTGAGTTCTCCTTACTCTCATATCTTATAGCACTTACTGAATTTATTTCTCTTAGTATGCTGACCAAAACTGTTTTCAATATGGACCTTTGTATGTCAAAACTTCTGAAATTTACATGCTTAAAAGTATTTTTTACTACAACTGCACAATTGACAATTTGGGCAAATTGGGCGCACTGTTATCTTGTGCCAGTTGCACTGTGGGGAAGTCTGATGTGTTCTGCTTGGCTTTTTTGTGGTCCACTATGAGAACACAGATAAACTCAACATGCCATAGGGCCCTCTGTGGACCATTTCCCAGTCCAGAGAACTCCAACCACCTGCTTCCTCAGACAATCCCTGCTCCACTCCATGTATCCCTTCTCCCTGAGTCTGCTATGTGGACACCAGCCCTTATTCTCTCCCATCTCTGTTAATAGTTCCTTTAAAGTTCCTATTTTACTTCCAGAGTAGTTCCTTAATCTGACTTTCCACCTTTTCAACTTGTTCTCTAGCTGTATCCATTCTATGTATTTCATCTATTGTGTTCTTTGAACAATTACTTTGCTAGCATTTCTCGATCTTATTTCATGTTGCAAATCTTCTATTGCTTTTCTTCCAATGACACATACTTTCAATTGGTTGTGGTTCCATTTCCAGTTCCTGTATTCCTCAGCTCTTCCTAATGGGTCCAGGTAGGCTATCCTGCCTGCAGATGCAGTTACCCAGACCCCATTATTCACTCAGTCTTGCCTCACCTCTTCAGGATCCTGCTTGGGAGGTGGAGGCTTCTTTCACCTCCAGGTACAATCAGGTATAGGTGGCCCTGGGTGGGGGGGTCTCCCCACTTCACCTCAAATCAGGGTTTGGGCTACCTTGATGTTATCCCTAAGGACCCCTGCCCAAAGTGTCCCCCATTTCTGCTGTGGGGGGCAGGTCATGACCCTGGCTGTGTTACCCTCCTCGTGCACATGCACACACATAGCCTGCTTGGCCAGGCCCCCTGAGCAATCTCCCACCTTCCCTGTTGTCCATCTTTTGGGCTTCTTCCTCAAGACTGACCATGACAACACATCACTTTGCAGAATCCCCTCATGATTGCTTTGAGGGCTACTCAAAGGCAGGGCCTGGCCTGGCACCCAGGTACCTTAGTTTGAGTAACAAAAGGCATGCCCTTGGCCAGGCACATTGGCTGACACCTGTAATCCCAGCACTTTGGGAGGCCAACGAAGGAGAACTGCTTGAGCCCAGGAGAGTTCAAGACCATCCTGAGCAACATAGTGAGACCCTATCTCTACAAAAAATTTTAAAAATTAGCCAAGTGTGGGGTGTATGCCTATAGTCCCAGCTACTCAGGAGGCTGAGGTGAGAGGAACGCTTGAAGCCCAGGAGGTTGAGGCTGCAGTGAGTTATGATCAGGCTACTGCACTCCAACCTGGGTGGGCGATAGAGCAAGACCCTTTCTTTT